ATCTACTTCTGTAGACGCTGCCTTAGAAACCCAAGGAGGGGTCACTGTGAGTTGGATTCAACTCCATGGCAGTGAGCTTGGAGCAGCAAGAACACTGAGCCAGAGGCTGCTTGATTCAAGCAGCCTTACCTGTCTCACTTGGAAGCACAGGAAAGTAATTTAAAATTGAGCTTTATGGTTTGACACAACTGAATTCAAATGTTAGTTCTTCCAGATATTCTCTATGCCTATGTTAGTAAATTACATAAACGATTTTCAAGATCCTTTTGACAGAATAGAGAAATATGTCTACCTCAGTTGTGTGTTGGGAACATTATCTGAGATGGTCTATTTAAAGTACTACACCAAGCACCTGCCACAGCAAATGTATTCAGTTGATGTTAGCTTTAATTTTACTTTAAAAGTTTGTAACTGAAAAAAAGTGATTTATTAAATTAAACTCTGTGACTTGAATTTTTTTTCCAAGGAAGTGATGCATATTATCAGTAACAGTGAGTAGCAGATACAATGAAATCCCCTCAATCAAAATAACAATTCAAAATACCTTCGTCAACACACAAAAAGAAAATTAAATCTATAGAATTTCTTTAAATGATCACAAGAGAATAGGCTTTCAGTTTTTATAGTTTCATTTTGTTGACTTTAAAATGAACCATATCCCATTGGTAAATATTTCCAAAAAGGCTGCTCCATCTCCTAAGACCCAGTCAAAGGGATCATTAGTGCAATTACAATCTTAACAGTTAAACATAATAGCCAACATTTATGAATTGCTCACTATGTGGTAGGTGCTGTGCAGTGCCTCTCATATTTATAGATTTATCTAATCCTCACAGTGTATGAGAAGGGAGCTATTAGTGTCTTTTACAAGTAAAGTGACTGAGACACAGAAATGTGAACTAATATGATGAGGGAATCGTATTAATTGGAAAAGCTAAAGTTGCTAGCCACACTGTTTGAATGAAGGATCCAAGTTCCTAACCTAACACTTCTACAGAAGAGACTTAACCATACATTTATGTACAACAGACAGTGAATTACCATGTGGAGTGGCCCCAATGATCCAAACTGATACTGAATCAGTGCTGCTAACTGTTCAATGTCATGATAATCCTTCTAGTGACACCCTTCTGAGCTGGATGGACAGAATGTGTGTAATGCTGGGAAAATTACCTGGACTGTTTCAACCCAAAATTCCTGCTATTAAAGTTGGGCATGCTTTCCAGATTATCTATGTAGTACATTAGCCATATGAGATACCAGATTTTGTTCTATTTACACATAACCCAAATTTCCCAATAGCACACAGATTCCAATGATGAAAAAATATGAAGTAAGATCACCCCAGATTAACTTAGGACTCCCAACATGAGATGGTGGCTATGGTAAGGTCTTAAGCTAAAACTCCATTTTATATCAAAAGTAACTTCTGCATCAGGTATATAGCCTCTCATTACTGTAACTCTCCACTGTATCCTGAGAAAATTACCTG